ATTTTTACTGAAGATCGTTTAGGTTTTGAGGTTCAAATTAAATACAAAATCATGTTTCTAGCATTCGTGCACAGTGAATTACAGGCAATTAAAGGCAAGCAATGCTACTTGCGTTTCTTTTGGAAGCTACTGTATATTATTTGCAGATGGAATCGATTGTTATGATAGATTAAAACAGAAGAATTTTCTATTGTGTGCATATATTTATCATGGTCAGATGATACTCCTGGCTTAACAAAACTTATAAATCTTACAGGACACAATTCATATAAAGGATGTAGGTATTATAATATCTGTGGTATTTACAAAAATTATGTATACTTTCCAATTATGCCACCTAGAGAAAAGAGAAATGAATATAAACAATATGATCCTAAAAATTTACCTATGCAGAATCATAGTCAATTTAAAAAACAAATTCGTCAGTTGGATAAAACAAATTCAAGTAAAGATCAATATGATTTAGAATCAGAATTTGGTATAATCCGTTTAATTTAATTAATTTATTACCTTTATTACATATATAATTAAACATTATTTTTTTGCTATTCATAATAATAGGAATTAAGGGGTGTAGCATATTATTTAACTTACAAGCAACTTGTTTTCCAACATCATTTCCTATCGATATGATGCACTTAATATACAAAAATATTGCAGGTTATATGTTTTAACACTAGATTGGAAAATTTTTCAAAAAAGATAGCAATCAGGATAATAGTGAATATGTGCTTAGTCAAGCTCAATAGAATGAATAGGAAATGAGATGTATAGTATTAGAAAGTCACTTCCAACTTATTTAGAAAGACCACCTCGTAACATAGTTATTCACCATAATGGATATAATGCTGAGGAGTGGGTGGCCTGGATAACTATGTACTCTTTACCTTTACTAAAAGGGCGAATGCCAAATAGACACTATAAATGGGTTTATTTTGTTATAGCTGTTCGCTTATGTCAGAAATTGATATTAACTTCTCAAGAATTGAGTGAAATTCAATTTTTATTTCAATCTTTTTATAATTATTATGAAAAGTAAGTATTAATTAATTAATTTAAATTGAAATTTTTATCTATCTGATATTTAATTCTTATTTATTAGAGAATATTACCGTGGTTTAGAAGACCGCTTAAGCACAATGAAATTGTGCTTTCATTATATTTTACATATAGCCAATAGTATTAAAAATACAGGGCTATGTTAGTCTACATGGCAATTTCCAATAGAACGTCTTTGTGGAATGCTTATTCCATTAGCATGATCACGACTTCATCCATACAAAAATATAATTAATAATATTCATAATTAGGAATTAATTAATCACTTATGATATTATCAATTCAATTATACTAACATTTTTCCATCTCAGCCACAAAAACAACATGCAGAACATCTTGCATATTCCAATGGTGATGAAGACTTTTATTTTCCATTCAAGAAGCATACACTCAGTCAGTCCAAATTGAAAAAGATAAAGAAACATTTTTCTGCTTCTTATGACATTAGGGGTAGAACACCTAAGGTATGTTATTAATTTTTTAGAATTTTAACGTATTTAAATAACATAATTAATACTATTTATTAGTCCTTTTCTTTATCAGAAACAAGATATGGATGGTTACGGACAAAAAATAGGCATTATATTGGATCTAAATGAATTAGAAGAAATCAAGACTAAGCCTGAATTAATTATTCAATTATGGTAAATAGTTCTGTCAATGAACATATTTTTATTTATTAAATTATTTACAAATAAAATTTCTAGGCGGTAATGTATGTAGATAAATGGGCTAATTTTCCAAAAAGAAAATCAGAATTTATACCGAAAGTATTTTTTGGAAATATTGAATATTACTTAGTTTATGAATTTGAAAAAGAAACACATATGTTAGCGTACATTCATTAGGCAAATAAAGTTAACGAAGATAATGAAGGATTATTATCATTTTTAGAATATGGATCACATAAATTTATTGATGCATGCACCATTGATTGTTATGTTGGATTTTTAAAATTAATAGAATATACTATATAATAGATAAAGAGGAAGAGTAAATCGTTGTAACATCAAAATTTAACAATTATTGTATGATTTAGCTTTAAATGTCAATTGTTGTATGATTTTAGCTTTAAACGTCAATTATTGTATAATGTACATTTTCTAATTGTATAAGATTTGTACAAATATATTTATTGTTCATTTTTTATACATATCCCCAAAATAAAATGATCAGATACTGCATGTTTTTTATATACTGTTATTGTATTTCCAGAATTTTGTATATTTTATGTATAAGTAATGACGCTTTTATATATTTTCTGATGAAATAAATATAATTTACGGATGATTTATTTTTATAGGGCATTCTAAACATCAGAGGCGTCAATTATTGCAAAATTGTCAATAATTGAGTGTTCTAAACGTCAGAGGTGTCAATTATTGCAAAATTGTTAATAATTGAGCGTTCTAAACATCAGAGGCGTTAATTATTGCAATAATGCAATTAATTGAACGTTCTGAATGTCAGAGGCATCAATTATTGCAATAATGCAATTAATTGAACGTTCTGAATGTAAGAGATGTCAATTATTATATTATTTGCAATTGATTAACCATTTCAAACATCAGAGGTATCAATTATTGCATTTTTGCAATTGATTAAGTATTCCAAATGTTGGAAGCATCAATTATTGCATTTTTGCAATTGATTGAGTGTTTTAAATGTCAGAGATGTCAATTTTTGCAATAATGCAATTAATTGAATGTTCTGAATGTCAGAGGTGTCAATCATTGCATTATTTGTAATTAATTAACCATTCCAAATGTCAGAGACGTCAATTATTGCATTTTTTGCAATTGATTGAGCGTTCTGAACATCAGAGACGTTAATTATTGCAATAATGCAATTAATTGAACGTTCTGAATGTAAGAGGCGTCAATTATTATATTATTTGCAATTGATTAACCATTTCAAACATCAGAGGTATCAATTATTACAAAATTGTCAATAATAGACCGTTCTAAACGTCAGAGGCGTTAATTATTGCAAAATTGTCAATAATTAACTGTTTTAAACGTCAAAGGCGTCAATTATTGCATTTTTGCAATTGATTAAGCGTTCTGAATGTCAAAAGCGTCAATTATTGGAAAATTGTCAATAATTGACCTTTTGAATGTCAGAGGTGTCAATTATTGCAAAAAATGCAATTAATTAACCGTTCTGAATATTGGAGGCGTAAATAATTGCTAAATTTAACTAATTTCATTTCTCATGATAACACATGTTAATTGCCGCAATATTTTTAATTAAATATATGTTTTGACTATTAGGGTTCCTCAAAATCAAATCAAATCAAATATTTAAGTAATTTGAATTTGGAATATTTGATTGAATCAATTTGAATCAATTTGAATTTGATCAAATCAAATCAAATCAAATCAAATCAAATTGATCGAATCAAATCGAATATAAATTTTTTTTTAATTTTTACAATGATATATTAAAATAAAGTTTTAATTAAGATAATTGTACTAAAAAATTTTAAAGATAGCTTTTACAAAGTAAGTTTAGTAACAGGTAAATTTTTACTATTAAACTTAGTAAAATAACTCTGCAGTTTCAGTTTAACTAAGAAAACTTAGTAATAATTGCTATCGTGGTTTCGGTTTACTAAGAAAACTTAATAATAACCGCCATCGCAACTTTAGTTTACTAAGAAAACTTAGTAATAACCATCATCACAGCTTCAGTTTTGCTAAGAAAACTTAGTAATAACTGCCATTACAGCTTCAGTTTTGTTAAAAAAACTTAGTAATAATCGCTATCACAACTTCAGTTTTACTAAGAAACCCTAGTAATAACTGCCATCTCGACTTCGTAACAATTTTATTAGTAAAAAAATGTTTATGAAGCTACAGATACATTTTTTACTAGGTTTCTTAGTAAAAACGTCTCCAAAGCTGCGAAGGCATTTTTTATTATGTTTTCTTAGTAAAATAGTGTTTCTAAAGCTACAGAGGCGTTTTTTACTGTTTACTAAGTAAAATAAGCTGCAAAAGCATTTTTTATTATGTTTTTCTTAGTAAAAAAGGCATTTTTGAAGCTGTGAAGATGCTTTTTACTATAGTTTTCTTAGTAAAAAAGGCATTTTCAAAGCTGTAAAGGTGCTTTTTGCTATAGTTTTCTTAGTAAGAAGCACTTCTAAAGCTTTGGAAATGACTTTATTATTGATTCAAATCAAATCAAATATTTAAATACTTGATTTGAATTTGATTGAATCAAATCAAATTGCAAAATCCTACTGACTAGTATTTGATGATCTGGATGATCTGCAGTAATTTTTAATCAAAAAATATTGATTTGTACAAATGATCTTTCTAGATCTGTAATATTTATGGATATCATAATACATGTAACATGTACTTTTACATTTATTATTTTTTTTTTGTTTTTTCAAATTTGTTTTTTTTTTCCTTTTTTTTTCAAATTTTCAAAATTATATTTTTTCTAAGGTAAATTTTTTAAGTCATAAGTTTTAATTAAGATTTTATAAGTTTTAAATATATCATATAATTATAAACCTTTTATTGAAATTACAATAGAAAAAGCTGATTTATAGTGATATTTTTGTATTTACATTACATGTAGAGTAAAGATGGGAACTGTAATTAATATGTTGCAACTTTTAATGTTGCAACTTACGTTGCAATTAGTTTTAATCTATATA